AATGACATGGAACATGAAATGGAAAAGGTTATTAGATACTGCAATGGTTTCCCTAAACTCCAAGCCCTAAACGCTCGCCTTGCGATGCTGTCATGGCCATGCAAGTTGCAACAAACGCTGAGCCCTATACCTAGTAGCTAGTAGAAAGCTGGCACGTACTTTATTTTTGCTATAGTTGTTCGGTTTTCTTTTCCATTACCTTGAACCCTACATCCTGAATCCTTAACCCTGAACCCTGAACCCTAAACCGTAAACGTTGGTTTCCATATGCTTTCCCATTACCCCAATATAACCCCAGTATAACCCCTATAACCCCTAAATAGTAGACAGCCTTATGGCCATGCAAGCGGAAAAAGATAGTACGCCGCCTTTGGCCTGCAACAAAATACCTTTTTCTCATGGGAGCTCCTTCAATGTGGGCTGTAGTCTAAACTCCTTAACGGGGGTGATATAGGGGATTCTATAAGGGAGTTTTATAGGGGTTATACTAGGAGTTTAGACAATGGCTCATACGGGAATAAGGGGTCGTTTGATGTAGCTCTACCCTGTAAGGAGAGCGTGGCGGGAATGGAGATGGTTCCGGAGACTCAGCCAGTTCCTGCGCTGGCTGCTCCTTGCATCGGTGGAGTTCAAGGTTGATCTAGAATTAGTGTGTAGAAGAGCTGCTCTGCCAAGGTTTTGCGAAAAGTGTTGTAAAGATAACAACTAAAGCAGGGGTGATCTCGTCTGTGCACAAGACAAGTAATGGTCGCGGTGATGCGTGCTCAGCGAGTAGCACTGATGCATACACCAGACTGCTTGCTCCTTTGGTGCCCACAACTATCAAGGATCACGGTGATAATGATCGAGATTACCGGGTATTAGCAGCGCCTTCTGTTAGCGCTCTCACTTCTGCCTTGGGGCCTGTTTAGCGCGGGTGAAGCGCAATCTAGGAGGTCCCACCAGCGACATGCGAATTGTTTAGGAATCAGGGCTTCGGTCAGCAGTCAATCTTGTGCGGGTCGAGCTATGCATGCTACACCCACGCTTTGATAGGCCTACTGAGGATGTGTTATGTCCGATGCCGGTCTTGTGAGCAGGAGAGCCCCAGCCTTTGCCAGCAAACGCAGGAGCACTGAGAACGTCGCACCATAACACATCGCCTTGTCATTAGGTGGCACAAGTTGTGAAACAGATTGTTTAGATGGGTCAGCTACCCAGAGTCAGCCAGACTGAGGTTCAGCAAGATTGTACCTTGGACGCAATGGTCCCGCAAGCGACTCTTGCGCAATGTGAGCTCCGACTTGAAAAGGGTCCCTTGTGAAATCTGTTATTATCTTGGGGGTTGTGAAGCCTTGTCAAGGCTGCATCGAGCCCAAGCTACTGTACAGTTCGGATTGTGCATCGGGTTTTACACATAACGTAAATCCACTCCATCGCTGCTTGGCGGACAACCAGTATGTGCTCATGGCGCGTTCCCTGTGGCCATGCGAAGCTCGGAGCGTTTGCAAAAGGCTTGCCAATCCGAACCAACACGACAAGGGTTATATCAGGGTTATATTGGGGTTATATTAGGGTGTATTAGGGTTATATTGGGGTTATATCTAAGCTTCCTGAGATCCTGAGAGACTTGAAAGCATGGCTTGCGAGCCCTTGCGCCCAGAGGAAAATCTTGTGACAGTCATCAAAGTTGCCGCCCCTGAGTGTCGCAGCAGGATTTCCCTCATAACTCGGTAATGGTAGTCTTCGAGCGCATTGCTTGGAAGTGCATCATTCCATACCCAATATGTTCTAATCCGTATTCTAGACCCCCAAAATGGTACCCCTAATGTTTGGAGCCCCTCATTTCACCTCGCTTACGTGCCTTCCAAGGCGTTCTTTCGCCCAAGCAGGCGTTTGCCAGCGCCTTCCTCAAGCCCAGCAGCCCGGGGGTCAACGCCAAGGACATATACATCTATAGTGACCTTTAAGTAGGTAGAATGTGCGGTATATGGGGATCTTAGTATAATGTACCCAAAGCCATATTCTGTCTACTTAAGGGGGACTACACTTATGTAATTAATATGTTGATTATATAATTTATATAATGTGATTTCTTTACAAGAACATAATACATTACCAGCTATCGCTGTTTTTATAAATTACAGCCCCCCCTGATTCACATAACCCCCAAAACGTGCCAAATTTCTTGCTACGATGCCGGAAGAGAAGAGTACCGCACTTCTTGCAAGAGAAGCGTCAGCCTGGAGGATGAGAATGATGATACCACTCCTGACCCTCCTTCCCCAACGGAAGGTGAGAGAGACTTGGTAGGGTTTAGGGTTTAGGGTTTAATAGCTTTGACTGTGTTTCTGTGCACTGGGATTGGTATGGCTACGTCATTGTGGCTCCCTTTCCTTCAATGATTCTTCCTTGTATTTGTGTGTGGAACAGATCCCCATCATATCGCCTGCGTTTGGCAGTTCGCTCATTTGTCTGGAAAAGAAGTGTACCATCAACCGAACCAGAAGCTGCTTCAAGTTGAGCACTTTGTTCTCTAAATTCTGCCCTTTCTAAAGATTGCCTCGCTGCTTGCGTGGCCAAGGTCCAGCATCCGTTACAGGATTCGTTGCGGCGACTGCCTCGATTCCGACGATTCCTGGCATGTCAGACGCGGATGACACCGACAAGGCGCAGATGCCGCCGGAAAAGAAAACGTCCTTCCAGGACCGAATTAATACAGAATTGCTGATTGCCAAGCATGCAGTCATTGCTGTTTACCATTTTGTTTGATGGTCGCCCTTGGCCTTGGCGAGGACGTTCGTCGCAGCTCAGATGCCAGCCGTGCCAGCAAAGAAAGCAAACAGAGCAACATCAGCTTCGACAGCGATGGATCACTGCCGTCCTTCTTCAAAGCGCAGACAACTGGCACCTCGCAGTGGAAGGATTTCTTGCAGGACAGCGAGTCGAGCGTCTCAGCCAACCGCTTTGCCCGAGTCTGGACCCTTTGCCTTCAGTCAGGGCTGGCCGCCGGCCACTGCGAGGGTGTGAGACCCTTAAGCAACACCTTCCAGACACAGCCTTGTTGATTGAAATAAGGAACTTCTTCATTTTGATGACGGTCTTCTTCTCGCTGACGCAGGCGCGGACACAGAATCACTCTCAAAATCTTGTGTTCAACCAGCCTAGCATGCCTGGTGCGCATCCTCCATCTCAGGCTTTGAACCCTCCTCTTCTTTCGGGTGTTTACGTCGGCTATGCGGAAGTGGGCATCGAGACGCTGTTTTGTGTCGAGCTTCTTGCACATGCGGTGCTAGAGCCGCGCAAATTGGTCTCCGACTTAGCTTGTAGTGTGCGCTCAATAGTGAGGGATATTGGTCTATTTTGTACCTTGTGCACTTGTAAAACAGCCGTTGACCTCATGCTACTGTGTTTCTCCTTCCTTTTCGAGGAAAATTTGTTGTTTTTGCTTTGGCTGCGTGAGGTTGCGAGTTGGCTTGTCTTCTCGGCGAAAATCACCTGGCTAGGCTTCCTCGAAACCTCAAGTAGCGCATTTTGCAGCAATTGATGGTTTTCGAATCCCTAAAATTGTAAAAGCAAAATTTGTCGAGTGCTCCGAGCAGGGAAGAGGGCGGGCTGGGGGACAGCATGCAGCAGATATAATACTCAGATAGCAACTCTACCAGCCATGGAAACAAAAGTAGCAACACCAATGACAGCAGTAGGAGTGGCAATGTTGCTAATGTCTGCAGCAGCCGTATAGTCGTAGTGGTGGTAGCATCTGTAGTCGTAGTGGTAGTAGTGGTGGTGGTGGTGGTGGTGGTGGTGGTGGTGGTGGTGATGGTCGTGGTGATGGTGGTGGTGGTGGTAGTGGGGGTGGGTGGGTGGGTGGGTGGGTAGGTAGCTAGGTAGGTAGCTAGGTACGGCAAAGCCCCGTACAAGTGCTACCAGTAAGAGTGGTATCCGTGTTACTGGTAAATCTTTTGTTGAGAAAGATGCACAGCATCAGAGCAATTGTGCTACCAGAATGTTAGGAATTACTTAATGGCTACCGCCAGTGCCGCCGACCCCCTGAGCCGGTATAGGAAGGCTAGAGGTTTGCTGCGTGAGCAGATTCGAGTCGTCGCTTGCTGGCACAGCTGTGTCCGATGCTCAGCTTCTCATCGGATCTTTG